TTTTGAAACTGCCTGATCTAAAGCACTTGTACAATAATTAGAATGCATTATGTGGGATACAGAAGGATAAATAATCTGAGTTATTTTTAGTTAGTATTTTTAGTTAGTATTTTTAGTTAGTATTTTTAATTTACTACTTTATTTAAAATTTTGGATTAGAGTGGCCACGGAATAGGAACTTATATCGATTAGGAAAATCAGGAAATTTGGCTAAAGTACTCAAAAGTTAGAAAAGGAATAAATTTATGTTTGAAATTTGCTTGAGAAGTCCTTTTTTTCATTTATAGCACGTTGTTATAATTTTTTAGCTCATTTATTATAGTTATAATACGTTTATAATAGTTTTATAATACCTTTCATGTTTAAGAATGAGGCATAACTGAAAAATTAATAATTAAATTTATGCAACCAGTTACAAAAATTAAGAAAATACAGCTTGGAAAAGTTAGGGGTTTTCTTTTTCTTTTAAGGTATCTGACCACCCTGAAAATAAATTCTAAATTATCATATTATCAACTCTAGTTCCACAGTAGTCTAATCGTAAGACACAGTTTCCAGTAAATCACCGAAGTCAAGGATCACTGTCTGCTATCAGTGGGCGGGTGATTGACCACTTTGATCACCCTGCGAAAGGCTCCAGGGTAGGCGGTATCGGTCCTCGTTTAACTGTTCTACCTTAAAGTGATCGACTTCGGGCACAAATCAATGGGCTACCCCAGCGGGGGATTCATCTCCTTTGCAGAGGATCAAAATTGTGATGCAAATAAAATTCTACATGCTTTTTGTTGCCGCGAAAGGCGATGCTTTGTGCAAATTGATAGACAAGTGAAACTGCTTCCTGCGAGACTTTATTTGCGCAATATATTTTTAAAAAATCCGCATTATTTAACTGGCCATTTCTCCTTGTTGGCCATATATGCTTGACCTACCCTAATAGTTGAAATTGTTTTAACTGTACCGTGTAAAATTCTTTGGCCACCATTTTAGAGTTATGGATTTGGAGAAGTAAGTTTCAATAGTTGGAGTGGTTCTAGCTTGTAATTTTTTTGATACTTTACCCTTCGTATTAAGATTCTGAGAATCTTCAGGTTCGAGTTTGTAACTTGTTTAGTTCTTCGCTATTAAATTCCTTAAAAAAATTTTTTACATTCCTAATGGTAAGTTTTAATAGTTGGATTGGTTCTAATTCGTACTTTCTTTTGTTCTGCACTGCACTGTAACTATTTTTTAACCAACTGAACTCCAATTCACCACTTTTCGCCATTGTTATTGAATGTGAAACTTATGTATTGAGAAATTTCCATGCTAACTCGGACAAATGCAATCTGTTTTAAGTTTCTTTAGTAAGGATTTTAGTTTTTTAAATCAAGAAGTTTTTAACTTTAGAATAGTTGGTTTCGATAATTGGAATGATTCTTGTAATTTTTTTCTTCGACCCTATTAAATATTTTAAGGAAATTTTTGGTTTCCAAATAAATATTATATTTCAATAGTAAAGATTGTTAACTAGCTTGCAGTTTTTATCGTTTATTAATTTTTCTTGGGAAATCGTTTATATTCCAAATAATAAATTTTAATTTCCATAGTTTTTACTGTTACCAAATTTTTTCTAACCAATCCAGCGTTTGCGAAGACCGAAGACGTCATGTCACCTGTTGTGTTTTCTTCCAATACAATAATTTTCCTCGATAAGAAAGCTTTGTAATAAGGGGAAATTTCAATCCAAACATGTTTAAATGCAAAACACTTTGTCTGTTTTTTAGAAATCTATAAATTTTTTAATAGTAAAGGATTTGGTTTGCATTTTTTTAAATTTAAATTTTTAAGGAAGGTTTTTAGATTTCGAATAGCAAGTTTCAATAGTTGGAATGTCTTTTATTAATTGTCGTTTATTAATTTTTCTTGAGAAATTATTTAAATTCCAAATAGTAAGTTCTAGTAGTCAGCATGGGCTAACATTTAGTTGAAAGGGTTCTTGGTTATTGTTTTTATTTTTTCTTCGTTGTTATCAAATTGTTAATGAAATTCTTAGGTTATGAATAGTTAGTTTCTATAATAGTTGAAAATTTCGTAATTTCGTTCTTCACCGTCATAAATTTTTTAAAGGAAGTTTTTAGAATCCGATCAGTTAGTTTCAATAGTGGAAATGGCACCTATAATTAATTATTTTTTTTGTACCGTTATTAAATATTTTAAGGTAGTTTTGAGATTCCGAATAGTATATTCAATAGCAGAAATAGTTGCTGTGATTAAGTTTTTTCTTTTGCGGAAATTTTAAGAATCCGATTTTTTTCAATAGTTGAATTGGTTCTTGTAATTCATTTTTTTCTTCACTGTTATTAATTATTTGAAAGAAGTTTTTAGAATCTGATTAGGAAGTTTCACTAGTTGAAATGACCCTTATAATAATTTTTTTATTCTGTTACAGTTACTAAATTTAAGGAACTAATTATGTTTTAAAAAATTAGTTGAAATTAGGCTTGGAATTTTTCGTTTTTCGCTGTTATTACATATTTTAAGGAAATGTTTAGAATACGAACAGTAAATTTCTAGAATTGAATTGAGCATTTTAATTTTTTTCGTCCTCTTTCGTTATTGAAATTTTTAGAAGCGTTTTTAAGTTCTGAAACTGTTGGAGTTGGTTGTATAATTTCTCCGTGTCGTTTGGATAGTTGAATTAAAACTCTTGTAAATATTTTTGTTGTTATTTTCAACGTATTTTTATTTACATTCCGAAAAGTAAGTTAAAATATAAAAAAGGAGCTAGATCTAATTGGGTGTGTTTCATTTTAATTCAGTCAATTTTTAACGTAAATGTGTGGTAAACAACAGCTGAAACCCAGTGATTTTCTCCCTTCCAACCGCTAGCTTATCTGACGGAGTGAAATATTGAATGCGCATTGGAAAAGAGCTGGCCTTCTGTAAATTTATGTACTTGATCTCCGCTCTCCAGGCATCGAACTCGTATCACTCAATCTGCCACCGACATCTTTTAGTCCGGAGCATTAATGGCCCCATTAAGTTCGTTACGGTAGCTGACACTGAATCCCAGTTCAGTCGAAATACGTAATCGACTCGAGATGCGTCCTCCCGGTCGTCACGCGCATCTCCATGGTAACGGGGACCCCTCGGTTCTAATTACGGACATTGCTGATGGGTGTGCGGCACAAACACGCTAATCTAATTAGAATCCCGCCGAGCAAAATAATGCGAGGAGCGCCGAATCCTCATTCTCTTGTTGCAGAAATATTGTAACAAACGATTTTGACTTGAGGTGGGCCACGCCAATATTAATAGGTTACGTCGCCAAATGAGTTTCACTATTTTGTTTTATTTGTTTATCTTTATTTCGTCCCCATTTTTTTTTTTTAATCGTTGCTCTATTTATCTTGTCCCTTGGCATTATTGCTCTCTTGATGAGTCTGTTTATGGAGTGTTGATTTGAATTATGAATATTCTTTTGCTGTTTGAGAAATTAATACACAAACAAGTGTGAGTGGTTCGTGCTCTTTTAATTAGTTAAGTATATAGCTCTTATATGTAGGTCCTTTTTTTTACATTCCTTTTCCAAAATATTGCTGTTTTCAAGGTCTGAAAAGTGCACCCACAACATTTGTTTGATGCCTTGTCCTATGGGATTAAGGGCTACATGTTATTCTTTTACTAGAGTTGTACAAATGTTTAAAATATATATATTATTCAGTAATAAATATATCAGAACTGGCACTGTCTGATTATTATTCATGACTAAATGTAGAGGATGCAGCTGTATATTATATAGACGATGAAAATAACTATAACTTATTATTGCTGGATTGTAGGTTACAAGATTAAGCAAAAGAGTAAAGCAAAACAACGGGTATGAAGCACAAATATAAGTACAGAAAATGGACATACTATAGTTTCGGTTCTACAAACAAGCTTGTTCCCCTTCCCTTACTTTTCAACCCCTTTTTTTATTATTGCAACCCTTTTGTTTATTGTCGCTATTTTTCTATCATTTTGTGTTTAGACAAAAAACCATTTTTATAAAATAATACAAAATGATTTTATAGCATGTATAATTTATAGTATATATCATATAGTATGTACAATTACAAATTTAAATAATATGCATATTATATACATATCAAATTTCTAATTATACATACATAGTATGTATCGTTATATGTGCTTCATTCACGTTGTTTTGCTTTAAGCATTCGTAGCATAAATTATACCCTTTCTTCATTGGAATCCTGGATTGAGTATCTTAATTTTTTTTCCTTTTTAAGATGTGTTTAAGTAAGGAATAATTAAACTGTAAAATTGAGTTTTCATACAAGCGAAAATCAATCCATTACAGCAACTTGATTTTTTGCTAATCTATTGGTACTCCGTCCCATTGTGGATAATAAAAATACGACAAAAGAATTAAAATTATTAAGCAACAATACAAAGTACGTAGAAAAAAATAATTAAAATCTGCAATATAATTTTTTTTACGTACATTTGATTGTTAATATATAAACTTGAGGAAAAACGTATTAATGAAATGAGCTAAATGATATAAAATGGATTGCTTCGGCAGTATCTAGGGTAAGCGAGAAATCGGAGGCTCCAACTTTTTTTTTTTTTTAAAGCTATTTAACTTTAGTACGCAGAGTAGTGACATGCATTTTTAATTTAATAATTCTTAATAATAAGAGTAATACAAAAATAACAAAGCTTTAACCATGTTCCATTTATTGTACTTTAAGTTAATTTTACAGGCATACATTCAGTTTTAATAAATAAAGGAACATTTCGCAATCAAAGGTGGTAAAATTCGGTAGTCATACAGTTGGTAATGTCATATATTTTAGGAGTCATACAGTTTGGTAATCTCTAATTTAGAAATCAGAGAGTCAGAAAATGAAAGCTTTGAAAAGTCACTTATTTCATTTTCATTTTCAGGCTGTGTCGTCTAAATCGGGAAATGTCGTCACAGTCACGAAAAGTCACACAATCAGAAAATTTGTTTTCGAAGAGTCACCCAATTGTGCATTGTCCATTTAAAAATCACACAACTGTGCAGTGTCTATTTAAAGAAGTCACACAATTGCGCATAGTCTATTTTAAAATTCACACAATTGGGGCAATATAGTCCATTTTAAGAGTATCACATTTGGGCAATGCATTCTACGTTCATAGTCACAGATGCAGATGAAGTCGCCTACTTTTAAAGTCACACAATCGGGAAATGTCTAAAAATTTCGATTTCTTACAGTCAGTACTTTTACAGTTACTACTTCATACTTTTATAGTCACATATTCGAGAAATTTCGTCTAGTTTAGGTAAGTCTTGATTCGGGTAATATCTAGGTTTTGAGTCACAGAGTCGGGAAATGTCACAGTCTCGAAATGTCACAGTCGGGAAATGTCACAGTCGGGATATGTCACAGTCGGGATATGTCACAGTCGGGATATGTCACAGTCGGGAAATGTCACAGTCGGTAAATGTCACAGTCGGTAAATGTCACAGTTGGGATATATCGAGACGAGAAAAAGTCACAAGGTCAGGAATTGCATACTTTTAAGTCACGAAAGGGTGTTTCTGGAGTCACAAAATCGGGAAATATCGTCTAGTTTGGTAGTCTTAAATCGGTGTATCTTTAATTTTGGGTACACGCAGTTTATTTCCGTTTGAAACACCCAGAAAATAGGCGTCTCACGATGTAACAGAAACCTTTATTGGACTTGGCCAGAAGTTTCTTCTCTCTCAAATCAATCTTGAAGTACCAGCATTGGCCACTTCTGTCACTACTGAAATTAAAGAAGAAATTTTAACTAAATAAGTAGATCATGACAGTATCGATGATGACAGTCGATTATTGTTTTGAAAGTTAATTATTAAAAATGATGAACCGTTAATTATTAAAAGTAATGAACCGTTAATTATTAAAAATGATGAACAAGGGGAAAAAAAGTAAGAATTTAAAAGAAGCGGAACACCTCATCAATTTTTGATTTCGTGTTTTGATTTTCATTGCACAATTTTAATCTATAAAATTTTAAAAGGCAAAGCACAAACATTGAAAGAGTTTTATCAAATAGTTCTTGAGAAATAAAAGTTTAAAAATGTGGAGTCTTCAAGATAGTAAAATTAAACATCAGGTGGCAGAACTTTCACCGCTCATTTTACCGACATAAATTTAAACTGTTCCAGCTTGCGGTTCACACCTCCTTTTTTCTTTATATTTTATTCATTAATATTAAATTTTTGTCTAAATAGTATAAATTCATGAAACGAGATTTCTTTCCGGAAAGAAACCCTTACACAAATTTTAAGTTATTTGTCAACGTTGATCAATAGTAAAAGGAGGTACATAATAATGCGCGATAAGGGTATAAAATTGGGTTTCAGCATTTCTGATTAAAATGCTGCTACTATTTAACTGAAACCCCATAAAAATTGTTGCAACAAATCTCCATTTGATTTGGAGATGAATAGAATAGAATGTAGGCTATTTGCTTGCCAAAGCCAGTGTTTTGAAGGATTTGAATATAAAAGTTACGACATTGATTCATCCTAAATTGACTCTGTCGTCTTTATTAATTGAAGACTATTTTAGGTTAGTTTAAAATATGATTTAAATTACCCTTCTATAAGAACCTTTTCTTTATCAAGAATCATGTTTGACTCTATTGGTTCTACTTCAGTATGCAATTCTCCAACTTCTCCGCTAAAAAAAAAATGAAATTAGTGCATGAAATAGTAGTTAAAAGTTAGCTTCTCTTTTAAAAAGGGTTTCTTGGATGCATAAATGTGTAATCATCAATGCGAAAATCATCGCTCCCGCATTTAAATACTAACAGGCATGGAGGTGAAAAGGCTCTTAATACAAAAGCATTCATAATTTTTGTATGCATTTTGTACACATTATTACACAAAAATTATTATGAAAATAAAATTAACTTAAATACTAATACATATGTTTCAAAAATTATTTAATCTATAGATGTTGTTTAAAATACTTAATTTGATCTTAAAAAATAAAATAAAAAATGTTCAAATTACCTATCCACGATAGCAACATCTACAACATCAACAACATCAGATGAAGATGACTCTTTCATCTCCATTTCAGCGCTCAACTCAACCGAGTCATCGCTAAAGATGAAAAAAGAATTTTTCAAATCATATAGTTAACACCTCAAGCTTATTATATGTCTTTGTTTAACATATTTTATTCATCAAAAAATATAGTAGCAAAAATTTAATTATTAAAAATAGAAGCACATTTTCTTGCACCTGTGTACATTTATTCCTCATTCCAATTTCTTTAATTTCTGTTTAAAATAAGTTAAATTAATTTGTACTTTTTAAAAAAATATTCCCAAAGGAAAAACGTATTAATGAAATGAGCTAAATGATATAAAATGGATTGCTTCGGCAGTATCTAGGGTAAGCGAGAAANTATATATATTCAATATACTATATAGAAAATTATTATATATTTATAATCGCACTAAAAAATTAATACAATGACAATAAGATAAAAGATAAACAGATTACCTATTCAACATATCAACATCTTCCTCATCAGTTGTTGATGACTCAGAATGCTGTATTTCAGCACTCAGCTCTTCCATTTCATCGCTAAAGGTAAAAAAAGGACATTATTGCATTATATAGTTGCTTTAAGTTAGACATATTTTCTTGTAAAAAATAAAGTATCAATAGTCTTTTTTTTATTCTGAAGCATATTTTGACTAATATTGAAGCATATTAGCACTGAATTGAAGCATATTTTTATGCATTGTACGTTTATGATAGTATTAAATTCCAATAATTAATCTACTTGAGCGAATTATTTTAATTTACTAATTTTACATATTATTTTTAATGATTCCGGTGGGACATTAAACAAAAATGGCAAATGCATTAAAATCTTAATTTCAAAATTTTTTTTTTTTTTGCTCTCGTTTTCTTTTGCATAGCTATGATGTATGTACTAATATGCAATAACTTTCATTAAATATTTAAAGTAGTTTTAAACTCAGATATTATGATCTCTTTATGATAATGACTCTTTAAATTACCTATCAGTAGCATTCTCATCATCAGAAGTCACATGTGACTCCTCACACACAATCTCACCATCACCTCCCAGCATTTCGTAGCTAAAAAAGAAATAAAACTATTACATTATTTAGTTATCTCAAGATGGTCGTCTTTCATCAGTTTTTTGCTTAATTCATACTTGAGGTATTATAAAGATTAATTCTTGTTTAAGCCCTTAACGATCGGTTAATTTTCGAGAAAACGGTCATAAAAGTGCCTACTTTGCCGAATACAAGTATTTGATTAGTGCTGACATCTAGTTTAAAATAAACTAACTAGCTACAATTACCTTAAAAATATCCTGATACTGCCATCTGGTGTGAAAAATGAGAAATAAAATGTTTTCCAGGCAAAAGAACTGAATTAGTTTTATTCTTATTGGAGCGTTACTACTAAACACTCCAGCCCGGAAATTTCACGGGAGCAAGAAATAAAGGGCGAAACCTCACCCGGTCATTTTCACGGGAGCGAGAAGGAAGGGGTTAATAAAAAAATTATTCTAATATTAAGTAATAAATATTGTTAAAAGAATCTATTTTAAACATATTTTACTTTAACAATTCTTATTAACATTTACATTTAAAATGTTCTCTACATATGACATGTTCTAAATAAAATATATATTGAAATAATTTAATTCAAAAAGTTATATTTTATCTTAATTGTTTAAATGTCGTAGTATTTAATAATATGAAACTCTAATACCCATTCTGCCACAAAATATATCAAATTTAATTATTTTTTTTTCGTGCTGGAAATGTAAAGCAGAAGAAAAAACTGAGGTAAAAGTTGGGAGAAAATTAAAGAAGTCATTTAAAAATTAAAAGTTCTCCATTTTAAGTTTCATTATGAACCTTTTTTTATGCAGGTAATATTTTAAATTAGAGCTATGTTTAAGTTTTAATAAAGCGCAAGAAACGAAGAAGAGAGATGCTTTTTGTAAACCAAAATTAAGCAGAATTATATAAGTTCAACCATTTTTTTTTTCTGCCTTCTGCGTAAAGAAAAAAAAATATTAATGAGTGAAAAAATCTAGGTAAGAAACCACAGCTAACTACCAACCTAAGTAGGTAGGTTAACCTAGGTAGTCTAAAGTCTTAAGTTAAAGACAATAAATATAGGAAAATAACATCTCTGTAAGTATAAAATAAAAATTTTACTTTCATTCAGTTGTTATATAACGATTCAGAATGCTAAATACGAATAGTTAAGTTATACCAGTTTTAAATTCAGTCTCTCTAAATGTTGAAAATTGAAATTAATGGATGTTTTTATTTACCGGTCTAAATTAACCTGTATAATGCAAACATAAAGTTGATAAAAATTATTAAGACACTATTTATGAAATTGGTATGTAATTGAAAAAACCACAAAACTATCCAACGATCTAACAGATTATTTTAAGTTAGCATTGGACAATTTAATTTATGCTAATATTTCAGATTTCAAATAATTTGACCTTCGAGTCTGTCTTTTTTTAAAGTTATTATTTTTTTATGTTAACATTTCTCTATGTTAACATTGGATAATTTAATTTATGCTGATATATATATTTTGGATTTCAAATAATTTGACAGTGAGTCTGTTTCTTTTGAGAAGGATTTTTTACTTTGTATTAATGTTTTGATTACTTTCAAAACATACCATTTTTCCTAAAAGCAATCACATTATTTCACAATCTAAATCATGTACTTACCCATCTATATCAGATGAACTACTACTGGTGTCCTCAGCAAAGAATCCAGGCGCTAAAAATAGATTAACAATTATATTTCAATTTACCTTGTTCTTGATTGAACTTAAATTTGATTTCAAATGTGGCTAGCAATATTTTTATAATTAATAAACATTTAGTAACTGTATACAAGCACAAACTGAATAATAGCTATGGAGCAACATAGCTCATTTTATAAATTAAATAAATAATTAGTATAGATTGTGGTAATCTTTTTTTTAGTTTTGCGTTTCAGAATTGTTGCTAGAAACAGAATGAATTGTTAAAAAGATTATAATTTTAAGTTAATATTTAATTACTTCAAAGTACAAGAGAAACTGAAAAAAATTTAATTAAGACGCGTAGTAAGGTATCGATTTATCATATTTATTCAAATGCGAAAAGTCTTTTACGTAATAGTACAAGCAACAGTATTTACTTTCTCGATTTGAAAAATTTAGTTTTGTATAGAAATTGCAATTCGCCAAAAAAAAAACTTTTTAATATAGAATAAATTAAATTTTTTTCGAATAAAAGAAATTCGAAATATATCTAATGTTTCATTACGGAATACTGTAAAAATATCACTAAATTATTATTTATATCAATGAGGTTTGATCAATGACTAAGTAATTCACTTATATTGTTGTGATTGGTACCTAATATACAAATCTATGTACAAATTATGGATACTATGCAGGGTTCTGTCTAGGTTTTTCTGAGAGGTACCTATTTTGTGAAAATTTAGACATAATTTGTGAAAAATTAAAATTTATATTAAAAAAATCAACACAAAAATATGGATTTATCGTTTCTTAAGGGATAAAAAAAAATTTAAGAAAAAGTATTGTGAAGCTACTGTTTTTCCTGAAGTTGAAAATGTGAAACTACCGTTTTTCCTAAAATTGAATTTGTGAACGTACCGCTAAACGGTAGTAAATTCGGCGTGGACAGACCCCTGCTACAGTAACATGTTTTTTACTGTCCCCCTCGAAATGGTATAACTCCGAATTGTTCCCGAAATTATAATTCCCATAAATTGACGCATTTTCTCACACAAAACAATATAACAATCTTTATTATGCTCCACCAAACTCTAACAGGACTTAAATTCGCTATATTCTTGATAATTTTCACAGTGTATTTAAAATACCAGTATAAAAAGTTAAATTTTTTTACTTACGAAAAGGTCTAGGATATTCCTGTAACCCTTTTTGCCAGTTGTTGAATAAAGCAAAAATATAAAGTTCATTCATTTTAGCAATTAGTAAGAAAGTTGTCAGAAAAAACTTTTTTCTCTTACAAGAGCTCAAATAAGAATGAGAAAAAAATATTTTCAATGCTTTGTTGGTGTGGTTAAACAAAAGTGTTTTTTTAGCAACAATGCTCAATAAAAGTAATTATAACAATGTATAGGAATCTAATTTTAAAATCAGTGTTCTTAAGTATTGTTGTAAACGTTTCAAATACTCAGTTATTTCAATTTAAACCAAAAAAAGGAGACGCAACAATGTATAAAGAAACTGAAATAGAAGATTACAAAATGACGCTTCATTCTTCAAATGTACTTAATTGTTAAGTATGCAACTGACACTGATTTAATTTCATATTTTTTATAGAGTTTAGTACAAAACGTGTGACTATTAATCTGAAATCTTATGCATAAAATAAAGGATTATTCGGGACAGACATGATAAACAAAGTTTATAGATATTATTTGAAATATTGAACCAAAAGGGAAAAAAAAAACATGTACATTGTATCTAAACTTATTTTGTTTTTGAAAATATGTAAATTAATATGTAAATGTCAAATTTACACAAAGTAAATATATATGTTGAAAAAATACAAATAAAATTTCAAATATAATGCTAGAAATATCTAATTCCATCTCCCTGAATATTTTATTTTTATAAATGTCGTTGAACAGCCGACCCAATTTTTTGGGTTTTCGACTACTAATGCTCAACTGCGCAGCCTTGTAATTTTGAACCCAATCCAGATGACCAGGGAACTCCTGGATCAAGTATTGGAAGAAATTTGCCTTCGTGGAGGACTTTTTGGTGGAGTTAACCCACATTTACGTTATAGGTAGAAGAAAACACGAATACCTCCCATGATTAGCCTGATGGCAAGGGGACTCTAACCCATGATCAGTCTACCACCTTAGATATTTAACTTCAGCACTGCGGTCGGCGCAACCCGGATGCGGAATTCGTGTCGTGAATTATATATATATTATATATATATAATTCTATGTATTGTACGCAAAAATATAAATTTTTACTGCCATCAAAAAGTTGTTTAAATTGGGCAAAAAATACACTGTAATTCTGTTTTTTTTTTAAACCTTTTGCAGAAAAAGAATTAAGTAATTCAAATTACCTACTTTGATGCATTAAAGATTTGCGTATAGAAAAAGCCTCACCTAATAAATTTTTACCTTAACTTTTGTTTGAATGTTGTTTTCATTGCAATGTTTCGAATCGCTTTGCTTGTATGTTTTAATTAAAGTTTTCTTTGCAGTAAGAAGAAAAAAAACTTTTTTCCCTTATAAAAAGGAGAGGTAGATTATTTAGTAGAAAATGAAAATTCTAGGTAGTTTTTATTTCTTTCTGTCGTTTAACTAAAATACGCTGAAGATAGGTAGTTAATTTCTTTTTACTTAGAAATCCGCTAAAGTTAGGTAGCTAATTTCTTTTTTTCTTAGAAACCCGCTAAAGTTAGGTAGCTAATTTCTTTTTACTTAGAAATCCGCTAAAGTTAGGTAACTCGTTTCTTTTTTCTTAGAAATCCGCTAAAGTTAGGTAGCTAATTTATTTTTACTTAGAAATTAGCTAAAGTTAGTTAGCTTAGTAAAGTCTTCTTAGTTAAGTCTCTTTCGGTATAAATATTTATTGCGTCTGGCATTGGTGGTTTTAATTAGAATGTCTTACACCTAACTTCGTAGATCCTTTGCGAAAATCACAAGATAAAGAAAATACAATTGCAATTCTGAGATATTATTCTGAATCCAAATATAGCTTAAAAGTCAGCTTATTTATATTAAAAATATTATTTGTTTTTAAAGAATACAGATATAATAAGGAATCTAATTCCAACACCTAAATCTTATTCCTGAATATTTTCCCTTATTTCATATTTGTTTATACTTTCATGCGCCATTCGCCTAAGAATTATCATAACTATTTAATTTCAATGATTTTAAAATAAGGATAGCTTAAAAACTTTTTTTTATGCAATGAAACTACAGATATATTTCATGTTTTCCTTTTCTATTTCAGTTTGAAGATTTTCCATTTATTTTAATACTTCTGCTTGCCGTTTGCCAAAGAATTATCATAAT